AGTGTATTTGCATCTGTGTTTGTGAGAACCAGTTTAGCTTTAGCCTCACTATGTTAGGACTCAGGTTTACTGTTCACCATATCAGTAGGATTATTATGAAGTAAAGCAGATTTAGTTTGAGCACAGTCAGAGGAAGGTCCAGATGTGTGTGGGTTATCTTTTATCAACGTCTTTTGTATGGTGTAACCAAAGACATCTGTGCATGTATGTGCATGTGTGTGTTTGAGAGCAGTATGTAAACTTCTGCCATGTTGTCTGCGAGACTGGCTTTGTAGTTGATAGATGGATGCCCCTATCATCTGCTTGGGGAGAATAGAGCCTTGTGTAATTACAGGCTTTTTGCTGGTCTCCTGTTCACACACACAGTTATGTGCAGGCGCATACACAAATGCACATAAGCTCAAAATTTCATAATTTGGTCCAGTAAACAGGCATTTGATAGCTAGAATCAGCTAACTGCAAGCTGTCTCTTTAAAAAAATGTAATGGTTTGTGCAAAATACAGCTCCATTTGTTAGCAGTCTTTGTTGATGGGTAACACAGCTAGTGCAAGTATACTTTGAATGTCTTGGGGTGTGTTTGTTTTTTGGCCATGTCTTCTAGATTTTGTAGATTTGGTGTATTTGAGGAATATGTCTGATTTAGTACTGAGCTCCCAATTCAGTTTTGCTTCACAAGATCCAGAACACGGCTTCCTAAAATCTGGATGTGGCTGTAGCAACATTATATCGAACCAGGACTCTTTAATGGTCCTCTGTGACAGTGAACACAACACTCAACTTTCAGTAACTTTTCGGCATATTGAGGCTCGTTACAGCTGACTGAAGTAACTTCACTGATTAAAGTAACTTTACTGCTTTATAGCAACGCTTTACTGTGACTTCAGCAACATGCTGCTGCTTCTGTCACACACCAGCAGAGATTCACTTCCTGAAGCAATCCCACTTGTCTACGTTGTCTTTGTTAAAGCGGATGTACAGCCAGGTTGTGGCTGGAAAACTGCACTGCATGAAAACATACTAATTATAATTATTCATATAATTATTAAGTGCTTTTTCTACCTTGACAGACAGACATGACATGTCACAGTGGTGGAGGAAGTATTCAGATTCTTTACTCAAGTGAAAATACTAATATCACACTGTAAAAATATTGGTTTACTCATGAAGGTCCTGCTTTGAAAGTGTTACATAAGTAAAGTATGTTTGTTCAATCAGGAGAATGTACTTATGCAAATAATACAAGGTGTGTCAGAAAAGTTTTAAGACTGGTGTCACAAAAGATACATTTCAAATCCAAGCTACAAACTACAAGTTTTCCCCTTTGAAGTAATCCCCCTGGAGTCTAACGCAATTTCCCAGCCTTCTCTGTCACGCCGCCATGCGCTCCTGGAAGGATTCTTCCAGGATCCTCCACAGCTCCGTCATCATAGCCATCTTGATTTCGTCCACGTCTTCAAAACGGGTCGCCTTGATGACCCCCTTGAGCTTGGGGAAGAGGAAAAAAATCCCACGGAGCCAGGTGGGGTGAGTAGGGAGGTTGCTCCAGCACGGAGATGTTCTTCTCAGCCAGGAACTGTGGGATGCTCAGGGCATTGTGAGCAGGTGCGTTGTCATGGTGAAGCAGCCACAACTTGTCCTGCCATAACTCTCATCTCTTCTCATGCACTGAATGAAGGAAACGCTACAGGATCTCTTTGTAGACGTGCTGGTTGATCGTCTGAAGGGGAAAACTCCTAGTTTTTAGTTTGGATTTGAAATCTTTTGTGCACCTGTTCTGGAACTTTTTACACACCTTGTAGGTAAAGGTATGTTCATACAATCAAAAATTGCAATTTTAGATTTTTTCTGAATTGTTTAACCCAAGTATTCATCGTTCATCACTAAATTTGCAATGTGCTGTCATCCTGTTTTGCTTAAGAAATACACAATTCTGAAGAGTTGCGTCAGCTGAGCCCGACTATGACCTCTGTCCATGTGTCTCAACAGGAAGAAATCTGTCATATTTTAGTTATTTTTAGAGTACATAAAATTAAGAAAGAGTTTATAAAGCTAACATTAACTTGAAGAATGGCAGATGTGAATGTCTTTAATAAATAAAAATAAATCAACAGCTTTTATTTTACACCCCCAAGTTTATAACACGTGCAAAACACAATAAAAATTGATTTTCACCAAATGGAACCTTTTAAAGTTCAACAGGAGTTTAAAAGCTTGATGAATACTTTGTTCCCTGTCTGAAATTAATTTAATTACCTGGATTATTCATTTAGACCTCCTCTGTATGAACGTTGTTGGCCAAGACTGCAATGGGTCCAGTTATAAATCCACCCATTATCTATCCTCACTATGGTTGCAGGGGGGGCTGGAGTCTATCCCAGCTGACTCAGGGTGAAGGCAGGGGACACCCTGGACAGATCACCAGTCTATCACAGGACCACACTTAGAGACAGACAACCAAGCACACTCACATTCACACCTACGGAAAATGTAGAATCACCAATTAACCTCAGCATGTTTTTGGACTGTGGGAGGAAGCCGGAGAACCCGGAGAGAACCCATGCTGCACGAGGAGAACATGCAAACCCCACGCAGAAAGATCCTGGGTGTCCTCACCGGGATGCAAACCGGCGACCTCCTAGCTGTGAAGCGATGGTGCTGACCACCGAGACACCTTGCAGCCCCCGCATTCGAAATGTTACATGTACTAATTAATAGGTAGAAACAACACAAAAAAAGAAGGCAGAGTATGGGGGTTAGTGGTATTTATGTGTACTTCACATTTTAATGAGGACCTGCCAAGACGCATGGAGCAGGACACATGGGTCTCTGTAACCCACCATTTCAAGCTGCAAACAAACCAAACATTAAATGCACCCAAGTTTATATGGACACTGCCAGTTCAAATGCACATTGATTAAGGTTTTTTTTAAACATTTCATATCTGAATCTGAATAAATGACATACAGTCTGCATGATAACGCATCTAAAATCATGAAAACTCAAGTCCACTTTATCCATGTGCTTGCTTTGATTTGCCTGTGTTTTTGTAAGGGTGTCCTCTTACCATCATCACTTATTGTCATTCTTCATCTGTCTGTCTTTTTTTCTTTCCTTCCCTCTCTTTCTGCTCCGTCTGTGTTTTGTGTTGCAGCCAACTGTATCCCTCAGTGCCTGAACGGAGGAATGTGCCTCAGGCCTCAACTCTGTGTCTGCAAACCTGGCTCAAAGGGGAAGGCATGCGAACAGAAGACGGTGCCCACACACCCCTTTCCAGCAGTGCCTGGGAATGGACCCACCAACGGGCATAACCCCGGTCACACTAATGGACACAATATGGTACCCCAACGGCCCATTCCTCAGCAAGTGTCTCCTAATGCTTATGGCTCTGCCCCCTCTTCAGCAAGCAACATTGCCCACATGAAAGTAACTGTCAAGGCAGCGCCGCAGTTTGTGCGACCCCATTACATTCAACAACACATCACACAGCAGTAAGTACAAGTCTTGGATTTAACCTTTATTTGCTGTAACATCACCTAAGATCTGTGCTGTCATTAGCTGGCTCTGTGAGAAAGTCACTAGAAGCAGTCTTCCATTGTCCCACTGCCTATTATTCTGCTGCTGAAAGCTTGACACCTGAACTGGAGCAGTTGGCAGGTTCAGTGTCTTCTTTACCCT